GACTGAAACCATGAGATAACCGAATCCGAGATATTTAACGATGACAGAATACCCAGAAGCACATCATGGTCGACCGAATTAAATGCACTACTGAAGTCCAGTAATGTTAGAACTGTGAGATGTTTATTGTCCATAGCCCAGCGTATATCATCGGATACTTTCAGTAAAGCACTGACTGTGCTGTGACCAGGACGAAAACCGGATTGTAACGGACTCAGCAGGCTATGAGAAAAGAGGAAATGAGAGAGTTGCTTGTGAACTACTGTCTCCAAGACTTTGGATAGAATAGGGAGAATAGAAATAGGGCGAAATTGAGATATCGCTGAAGGAGTAGAAGTTTTCGGAAGAGGAATTACCAAAGCTTTTTTCCAAATAGATGGAAAAGGGGAAGTATTCAAAGAAGAATTAATAAGATGAGAAATGATAGGAAGAAACTCGTGGGAAATAGGTTTTATCATCCGAAGAGAGATACCGTCATAACCAATGGCATTAGTTGTAATTTTGTCAATTGCTTTTCTGACGTCATCCTCAGTTACGTCGCTAAAATTAAAAGGAGGACATATAGGTTTAGGAAGATTGGAAAGAAGGCTTAAAGTTGTGGGTTTGAGCGATTGGTTTATAGTTATAGGAGGTTGAGAAAAATTACGATTGAGCTCATTTAGGTCAAACTGAACATTAGATTCTTTTTGTGAGTGACCTATACCCAGGCTTCTGCGGATGTCTTCGTTACGAACTCTATAACGCAAAGAAATACCAAGCATAGCCCGCTCCATATCTCGCTAAGCGACTTTGAGCTTCCTCATACGGCTAGCAGTGAAGGACCACGTCTCGGTTCCGTAGGTCATATAACTGACAACACACATTGATTGAAGACTTTATTCATCAAACATTGAGGTATATTCTACGAGAACATTTGGCGAAGTTTAACTAACGCTGCCCATCCGAGTTGGTCTCGCCGATTGATACCTGCGTCGAAGCCGGACTTACCTAGCCGGACTAACCGTCCTAGGTAAACGTACTCGTCAACAACTTAGTCACAGTGCTCCCAACAACAACCGGTATAGGCGTGACATGGACATTAGACATGATCTTCGTCTTGTCCATGTTGATCTTAAGGCGCACCCGTTGGGAGAAACTGAGGAGAACTTGAGGTCATTGAGCATAGTACCAAGGTCCTCCAGCGATTCTGCCATGATGACTATGTCGTCGGCAAATCGAAGAATTGCCAGTAGATTTTGAGTGAGATTGAGAGGTTCTATGGACAGCTGTACACATCGTCGTTGGAGCCACACACATTTGTAACGAGTAACGACCCAAGAGCAAAGCTTATCCGACACTATTCCGCGAATATCCCGGACGTCACTCTTAACGAGATTAGAATAGCTCTTGACCATCTTAAGAATGACAAGCATTAGGAGAGGACGGAATTACAGCACAGCTTCTGAAAGTGGCTGGAGAACCGGCACTTGTGGTCCTTCTGAGGCAACTTTCGGTTCCGTCCTACAGGATGGCGCTACACCTGAGGCGTGGCGAGCAGAAGTTTGGTGGTGCTATTCTTCAAGAAAGGCGATAACGCTATCTTGAAGCACTATAGACCGATATCCCTTCTGAGCCGCGTCTATGTGCTGTTTTCAAGAGTCATCTTGAATCGTCTCGCTTCCAGACTCGACTACTTCCAGCCTCCCGAACAAGCCCGATTCCGATAAGGCTTCAGTACCATAGCCCACATACACTTTGCGGCAGATCATACAGAAAACAGAACAGTATAATCTGCCTTTTTTGCCTAGCGTATGTGGAGAAGGAGAAAGCTTTCGATTCTCTCGAAATTTGGGCGGTACTCCAGGCCCTTCAGCGGTGCCAATTTGATTGTCTGTATATCGAGTTGCTGAGGTGTTTGTATAACAAGGCTACGATGTCCGTCCAAATACAGTCCAGTGGTACAAAACCTATACAACTGCAGAAGGGTGTAAGACAGGGTGATGTCATATCCCCGAAACTCTTCGCTGCATTGGAAGATGTTTTCAAGCTTCTGAACTGGAAAGGACGAGGAATTAACATCAATGGCGAATACATCACCCACCTTCAATTTATGTATGTTCATAAAAGTATTTTAGTATAATTTAGCAGGAGCCAATTGCAGAGCAAGAGTCACTTCCACACATCCTTGTCTTCAATGTATTCCTCGACATTATAATAGGCCCTTTGCATTAAAGTGGTTTTTACAAAATGTTTGAAATTATTTACACTTAATTGTTTGTGGATGTCACCTATTCTGTTATATAAGTTAATACATCTACCAAGAAACGATTTCCTGGTTTTAGTCTAGTCTAAACCTCGGTATTTCCAACGTGTCACCACGGCTCCGACGCGATGTGGTATGTTTTGTTTTAAAAAAGGTGTCTGTTATTTCGTATATACATGATGTTCCCAAGTATGCATAGCGACGGGAGCGATGTTTATTTGTTTGAAAATATGCCGAATGGACTCACGTGGACCCAGGCCAGCCCGTATCGCATGCTTTTGCAATATAAATATCGTATCTAAACCGGATGCAGAACCCCTATCTACGGATTATCTTAATCAATATTAACATTACTAATTAAATCCAAAAAAATTGATTACGCATCAAATAAATTTCTGAAAACAGAAGTGGATTGTACTCGTACTATAGTCAGAGCTAGCTTTGTTACTAACAGTTATGTAGAACTTTCATTTAGTACTGATTATGTAATAATTGACAGGTTTGTGTTATAAATTTTATTAATTTATCCCTTTTTAAATAAGGAAAAACATAAAAAGCGTAGCAGAAAAGGTTTTAAATATAAAAGTTGATAGTTCATTTTACAATTGACTTCCTTACTTTGTAGGGAGTAAACACGATATAGTGTTATTTGTCGATGATACATCAAAAAAAAATCTATCGACAGCTTGTTACACTTGACGAGGTAAATAATGCTATGTCAGAAATAGTCTATTGGTTTAATACTAACAATTTACTATTAATAATCGCCTGTTTCTTCTCCGCTAGAGGAACCTCATTACGATACGGTGGTAGATTTAAGAAAAAATATGACTATCGATAGATGAAATGTAAGTTTCTTATGGCGATGAATAAATGATTTTGATTTTTTGATTTTGACTTTTTTGCAATTTTTGGACAGTATGCGGATTTAGTCCACAAAACAGAACGCTTTTCCAATTGACTAGGAGATCACGTAAACATATTATTAAAAAGTGACATTCATGGAATAAAAATGCTACAATAGATATATTTCCTACTCTGATCTTCTGTGAGGCCGTGGTATGTAACTACCATAGTTAATAGGTAAATAGATTAGATAGACTACTATTTTCGTTAAAATAAAATAAAATGTTATGTTAACTTTTATTGTTATTTGTTCTGTTGTAAAATTTTGGGCTAATATTCCGAATAGTACGTCTCGTTTTTCAAGCTAGAAAAAAATTTTAATCGATAGAGAAATGTTAATAATTAAATATTATATAAGTTATAATCAATGAAAACCACTAGATTATGAGGAAAAAAATAACAAAGTTTTTAAATTTCATACAACTGAAATCCGTCATTACTGTGCGTCCATTATTTATTACAGACTATTATTTTAAGTTAAAAACTTACGTTTTCACTTTTTACGTTGTAAGAAGGCACAAATACACAGATATATCACAAAAACACAAGTTTCTACTTCATGAACATGTATTATTAACAATTTCTAATATTTAAAATTTGTGACTTAGGGTACACTTAATGTCTCGAATATTAGGTTCAAAATGAGTCACAGATCCGACACAGAGCGATCCGACTCGGATAGGTTAGGTTAGAAGGTTAGCCTTCGATGTTAGGTTTTTTTTATGACCACCCAGAAAACTTTTGTGTAACAGTACTTTTAGTATTTTTAAAGACTCTTTTTTAATAATGCGAAGGTTATAACTTGAAAAAGTGTGTGTATTCTTAAATTTATACATGAAAAAGTGTGTAACAGGTATTCTTAATTTATTTTTAAAGACTAAGTTTTGGGCCTTTTTTTAATATTTTGCGAATTTTTATAACTTGAAAAATGTTGTATTCTTAAATTTATACATGTTGTCAAACACAAAATGGCGGATTTATTTAGTGAAAATAACAAGTTTTAAATATTTTTTTTTATTAAAAGTAAGTGTTTGCCTTGGTTTTCACGTATGTAATATTTAATAATTAACATTTCTCTATCGATTAAGATTTTTTTCTAGCTTGAAAAACGAGACCTACTGTTCGGAATTTTTACCATTAAAAAGGTTTCTCGTAATATCCTCGGGCACATGAAAATAATTAATGAGAGCGACTATTCAATATCTAGAGCGGGGCGGAGAAGACACAGAGAAATAATTGACGGCAATGAAATTATGCCGCTCCTTTAAATGTGCTCTAAAAGTAAATCATTGGACTGTATTATTTAAATGAAATATATACAGGAAATTACAAAAGACCTAGAAGTTACTAAATTATGGAGTAAAAACATATTTTCGGAGGAATTTAAACTTAGCATAATTTTTTAATGTATCTTCTATTAGAGACATCTCTAACACTGTGTTATAATCAAATTGAAATCGATGAATTATTCAAAGTGAAAATCATTTTGAGCTTTCTTAAACACTAAACAGTGAAACTGACAGGACTGAGAGGGTTTACGAATAAGTAACGATCCCGCAGTGACACGTTTTCAGAGACTAATATTGTGTCGTGTGGGCTGCACGTCAAATAGGTAAGAAGATAACAAATAGACAGCAGGTGTGCCAAATATGAAAGAGACAAAACGTTGAAGGAAACGCCTTCCACGGACATAAGGAAAAAAATGTTCTAGAGACGTGAACGCGCAGTGCGCAAATGCTATATTATTAAATTGTTTTTACCTGCGACTCCGTCCATGTGGTGCGAAACGTAATTAAGATACGCGTGCTTCTTAAAGTTTTACTAGCAGGAGATATCGAAATGCCAAGCCTTAGGCTTTTCCTTCATCTGACGCATATTCGAATTCCTGAAACGGAAATTGATAACGCAGCATGGTTATCGAATCGTCAAACTGGATAATGTTGTCTAATAGTACAATTGAAGTTCCAGACTCGCAAATATTTTAAATTACTGTTGATCTTAGCTTCCGCTATTACACGAATAAAGCAGGCTCCTCCGGCGGGGAAGCACCGCCTCCCGGAAAACAGTGTGAAGTTGAACCTCTATTCTGCAACTGTTTTTTCATTTTATCAGAATTCTATGAGAGAGTTAACTAAAATTCGTTTTCTACCTGGAACAAGTATTTGTAGATCTGGGTGCATGTTCGTGTATAATAAAACACCTCTACAATACGAGATATCTTATACTACCTACATTCTTGTCATAAATCTATTTTATTAAATTATATTAATTTTAATTAAAAAATAAATAATATAAATCTAAAGTGCACCTCATATACATATATTTAAATTGAGAAAACGTAATACAAATAGATATGTACCTCTTCCCTAGTTTATTTTAAAAATTAGATTAAAATGATTTTTTAATTTTGTTTAAAAAAATTCAAATATAAAAATTAAAGGATCCAGAAGAAAATATAATAATACTGCGCAGCGGTGCAAGTTAAACTTTATCTTTTTGTGCGATGACAAAAGCTAAGTTTTAGATTTTTCTGATAAATTTCTCAAGAAACACCTATATTGATGTACTAAAACATTTTATAAAACTAATCATTATCTTTATAATAATGAGTTGGGTAAAAGTCAGTGTAAAATGTTTTAGATTAAGACTTCAAAACGTTATTGTCGAAAATTTTGATAATAATAAGAACCAAGTACTGACCTTTAAGATGATCGCTGCGATCGACTGTAAACGGCACACTTTTGTCTGTGAAGTAAAAAAGGCAATGAAAATTATTGAACGAGATTAAAAATAATTGCTGTAATTTTAATCTAAACACCGATAATTTTATAATAATACCACGATAACCTAGCAATAAAACTGAAAGTAAACTGATGACTGATTTTTCCATAATCCAATCAAATTTCCGCTATTGAGTATAGGACATAAAATAGTTTACTAAAGTCTAGAATATAAAAAAAATACTTACTGAGCCACCGCCAACAATCTAATAACATTTTCTTTGCTATACCGCAGGGGAATCGTGTGATGAGCAATGAAAAAAAGCGCACGTACTGCCTCATTACGATAAATAACATCACACGAAACAAATTAAAGTCACATTTCAAGTAAACGTGCTGAGTGCCGTAAGCGAGATAATATATTCCTGGGATTCACGGTTTTTATTCAGATGTTGTATAATATAATGTCAATAAAGGAAACGTAGATTCTCAAAGTAGATCTACAAAATAAAAATAAGATCTTCACTTCTTTAATCGAGGCGACACTTAATAAATAGAATATTTTATTTGGCTCATCTTTGACTAGACATTAGATCTTATTCTAAATTAAGTTTAAATACACCAGTTGGTAGTTATGTGGCTCTAGTTATCAGTTCAGTCATTTCTACTGCTTTCGTGAATAACAACAGAGCAATATATGTATTGCTTTTAGATTCGTGAGTAAGATAATGTATGTTCCTCAGTCTTAAACTCTGGCAACACACCTGCAGTGTCTCTGGCGGTCTGGATGTCGATAGCAGACCATAAAAACGTGCCATCGAGTAAACCGCTGAATTATTTATCTCCCCCGTATCTTAAAAATAAATAGTAATATATGTTGAGGACTGTATCAATGAGAACCACTTTAGATTCTTTTAGCAATGACAGCAAGTTTTCGACGTATGTAACCTTCGTACGTATAATTTTTGTCGTTCCCTGTCATCCGAACTTTGCAAAATGTAGCAAATTAAAATTTGCGGCAAAATAAATATTCGCGCCAAACATCACCACTACAAATGAATATTTAGAATTGGATACTTATGAAAAAAACAAAATAAAGTATGGTCACATACAACTTTCATAATGAAAGTGCAACAAATTGCGTTTTAATTTATTTGTTTATGTTCATGATCTGCAGAAAGCCGGTAAACCTGTTCATTAAGCAAAGTTGATTCAATTTAACGTAGTTGTAAGAAAGAAAGAAAATAAATTTTACAAAAAATAAAAGAAAAGAAAACAAAATCAAAACAAAATGTAAACATAATATATGTTCATATCTTTTATTTTCCATTAACGTTATCGGAAAGATGTTTACCGTGCTATTAGCTTACCTCAATAGATAAAGATTTTAGGCAAAGAGAGAAAAAAACATTTGATAACCAACAACATAGCTATGAGATATATTATATTGCACCTTAGTCATAACGACTTAGGATTATAAATTACTAGCTACTACGACGCGACTACGTCTGCGTAGAATAGGCTGAAGGCTTAACATTCAGACAGAAAGACAGATATACATAAAATATGTCTTATTCTGATGTATAAGCTATATTATTGTAGATTCATTAAAATCCATTCAGTAGTATTCGCGTGAAAGAGTACCAAACATCCATCCATGCATAGAAACTTTCGCGTTTATAATATTAGTAAGGATAATACCTTAAGAAATGACATACTATAACGTCCCACCTATGAACACACGCCAACTGTATACTCCCTGTAGATAATGTATCCTGTACGCACACAGGGACCTTGTGAACTCTGCAGTTCTTCGAAATGTATTGTTTTTTCAGAGACGGTGGTCCATTTCTAACATTAAATTCAAAGTAATTTTCAACGTTGCTTTGTTAGAGGATAAAGCGTTTAATTGTTATTTATCTTATCATTATTTATCTTCCGTCATACACATAAATTTAAATTTTCTTAAATTTGTAATTACTCAGTTAATCCTGGACTCGCAGCTTCTCTTACTGCTTTATTATTGTTAAATTTTTCTCCAAGATTGATTGTTATTCAAGATGCCGTTGCTAACTTTTATAGTAACAATTATTTGTGTCCGCAAAATGTTTTTTGGGCTTATATATTGGGAAAAAACGACTATAAAGTATAGTTTATGGATAGAATATAACTACTATTCTAGCATACTATAATCCATTCGAGTACTTAAATACTCAATAAAAAATATTGTAAATCAAATGAAGATAACTATACCAACAACATAAACTTATGACAGCCTTTTTTCAAGATTATTATTCCTAAAAACCTATTGCAAGCTTACAAATTGAACCCAAATATAACCCATGATTATTTACACTTAACATATATGTGTTAAATCTCAAAAAAAACCACGCTAAAGTAAAAAATCTCACTAAAGTGAGCAACTTAAGTGACCATTGTAATTTTATTAAATAAGCAAGTAAATACAGGCTTCAACACCTCGAGGAAGTAAAAACAGCAGAAGTTTCTAATTAATATATTAAGAAATTTAAAACTGTCATTTAACTGTCCCTTTATTTTATTTTTTATTACCACCAAGTACCTAGTTGTTGTTTTATTCGAGTCTCAATATAATAGCTATCGAGTACAGCAAAATCGGTACGAATATTTTGGCCTAGACGGTATCTCTTGCATTGGAAATTTGCAAGAAAAGTATTAAAAATTAGTACTATTAATTTAATAATGAACTCTTTATAAAAATAATTTAGTCACCACATATCAAATATTTATTCCAGAATTTTCAAAACAGGAAGTAAAGAATTTTCTCTCTTGCAAACTTACCAAATGCAATGGTTTAATGATCCAGAAGACCACATATACACCGTTCACCGAATCCTACGGAGACAAAAGTCTTCAACGTAGACGCAATAGGGCGGTTGGGGCCGCGGCGAGGGGGCGTTATATAAAGTTATATAGAAGTGGAATATTAATGACTATACAATTATTAAAATAAGCTTACACTTTGGTACAGCCACGAAACAGCTTTTATTGTTGCACAAATAGGCAACAGCCCCACAGAATGAAAGTGGAAGTATTATACTTTCGCTCTTCGTCTGGTGATTGAGGTAACCGCGGCCTACTTTTTAAAAGGTTTTCGTCTCATTCCTTCGGGCTTGTAGATGTCCATGGGCGGCGGTATTCACTTAAAATCAGATGAACCGCCTGCTCAATTGACAATTTTTCACATAAAAAACATAAAAGTAAAATAAATAATTGTGTAAATGATCGTGATACGAACCGCCGCCGTCTGTTTTGGGGCTGCCCGATTATTATAACATTTTTTTTTTGCGGCGTACTGTCATTTTCGAATGACATTTTTCATCTGAAAACAGGGAAAAAGGACATTTTATATATATATATATATATATATATATATATATATAGATAGATATATGTACATATCTATAAGAATTGCTCGTTTAAAGGATAACATAATACTCTCGTAAAAGATATCATGGTAGAGGTATACAAAAAAGGTACTCATAACGCCGTCCGGATCGTGAAAATATTTAATGGGAGCGACTCTCCAATGTCTCGATCCTGGTCACAGCGACACATTCATTAAGCTGATAATGAATACTTGAGAAAATTATTGACGGCAAATAAAATTTTCCACACAATATAAAACAGCAGTTTTTGTGTAAATTTAATATTTAAAACATTATTTCCTAGCCGTTAATTTGAAACAGCAAAATACAAAGATTAGATACTTTTTGTATAATATGTGTCTGTAAATGTTCAAAAAGTTTATAAAGGTTTTTATTCTTGAACAAATTATGTTTTATATACATATTAACAAAGAACCACGCAACAGCCTACTCTGTCCGTCCCGAGAAGTGCTACGAACTCACAGAAGACCGGCGCAAAGTGGAAGTGTGAAACACTTCTGCGTTTGATGCGGTGAATGAGATAGCCGGGGCCCCTTTATTAAAAGGTGGCAGGGCATCTGCACTTACTTACTTAAAATCTTTTGTCCTAGCTGGAGCAGAGGGCGTCCACTGGAGATCGCCATCGCGAACGATCTTGCGTTTCACTCTTCACCTCGCTCCATGTCCGTCCGATGTTCGATGCTTCTGCCGATACGGTGCGACGCCAGGTTTGCGGGGACGGCCGCGCCTTCATTTTTCCTTGAGGATTCCAGTCCAATGCTTGTTTATGAATATGATCGGAACCTCTCCGGAGCGTGTGACCAATCCATTTCCACTTGCAGCGCTTGATCTGGCGGTCAATCGGGCTGTCGTGGCCTCCTTCCTTCTCTGCGTATTGCAAATGTCTATGGGCGGCGGTTATCACTAAACCTTCTCACAAAAAAAAGATATACATGTAATATAACAAAAAGAGCAACGAATAGATGGCCTTACCCACGGCATTACCATATCGCGATGCGTGCACTTAGTGCGGTTAGTATATTATATTTATAGAATTACGTTTCCAATACCGAAATGACGTCTTTAAAATTAAATTTATTATATAATGTTGTTAGGAAATAGAAACGATAATTGATTTTTTAAAAAGAATTTATTGGCCAGTAGGCCAAATTACATAGAAGTTTGACTATGATTCTAAGTAACCGACACAATCGTTATTAATTCGGATAGAGCTTTCGCACTCTACAACGGCTGACGAGAAAGTCCCTTGACACGGCGAGCGGTGCTCCGTTTATAGATCGTCGCAGTGTGCTACTACCCTCCTATCTTCTAACAATATACTATTTTTCTCAGCAAACAACATTAACAGCTCGGTGGCGTAACTGGTAAGCTATAAATAGCTCCAAACAAATGTTTGTGTGACTCACAGATATTTTTTTTATTTAGAACTGGCCAGCATTTGACTGCCATCCCATCTGATCGTAAGCCGATACCTCTAACAACATTATTCCCCAGAAACCCCATCTAGGTGGGATAAGGGCAGGAGGACGACGAACTGACATTAAGACCTGTAAAAGAAAAGGGAACGCTCAAATTCCTAGTCATGTTGATAAGATGTACTGAGCACAACTTACTACAATGCAATCAGGTCAGCACTTTTTTTATGGCACCAAAGGCAAGAAAAACACAAAAATAACTGACCTGCGATTGGACGATTGCATTGAATTTCCAAATGATATTTTGCAATATCGGACAGACTTATTTAGAAAATGAAAAAAATATATATCAATTATATATTTTGATCGTTGAAATTGAGTTGTGAAGCACGTACCCGTGGGTTTCTAAACACGATTATATTAAAAACTGTTTATTAAGAAATGTTTACTGAAAATATTATGTATGCAGTCTATTTTAATTTCAACAGATGATTTTCCCTGGGTCGTTCCGCTCGGGAAACTTAAATTTGACAAGTTATATGATCAAAGTTCCAGCTTCTGGCTAAGCTTAAAGCTCAGCTGCTTGTAATAACATTGTTATAAACTAGTTGTGGAGTTCTATAAAAGACCTGAAGGCAAATTTCATACCATTTATCACTCAGCACAAATACAATTCCATCCTTAGCATAGATAATCTATATCGCTATTGACGAGAATAAGGGATTACAAAATTTTCTAACTAATATTCAGGAATTTTGCTTATCATCAAGCAGTACTTTACCACTACCAAAGGCTTAACGTGTACTCATCACCTTTTTTATAACTCACTCTCTTCAAATATATTCGACTCTTTAATTAAAGTACCCGGAGGACCGAGCTTTGCTCGGTTTGTTTTTTTTTAAATCGTGTGTTTTGGAAATTACATTTAGATACAAATTACTGATTAATGAAATCTGCATAATATTTTTCGATCTTACCGACCTAATCATAAGAAAATATGAAGTGGTGTTTTTCACAAAAGAAACAACTTGAAAAAAAAAACAAAATCATCTGGATCAACAAAAAATAAAAAATAAAGAAAGCAATGGTCTGGAATCGAAAAAAAAGTAAAAAAAAAAGAGTGTGTAAATGATCGTGACACGAACCACGGCCGTCTGTTTTGGGGCCTCCCGATTACCGACCGAGCTATTATGACATTTACTTTGCGGCGAAATTTACCGTCATATTCGAATGATATTTTTCAATGCCTGAAAACAGGGATAAAAGGACATTTTCTAAAAATAAAACCTAGCTAGATCGATTTTTCGCCCCCGGATCTACGCACATACTAAATTTCATGAAAATCGCTGGAGCCGTTTCCGAGATTCCGATTATATATATATATATATATATATATATATATATATATATATATACAAGAATTGCTCGTTTAAAGGATAAAGATATCACTGTAAGTACAAATGCCACCAATGAAAATTCAATTTGACAAGGTCGAAACTTACACATTATTGCACACCACTATATTCTGTTAGTGTTTCACAACGGCGCCGCTGGAGCAAGTACAAACAAATAACCTCCTGTATTTACAGTACGCCTAACATCATTACTGAAAAAATATACCGACTGACAGAGTTGAACCGCGTAACGTATAATACATTAGATGTGGGTTAGTGTACAGTGTACATGTAGTGTTGTAAAAGTTATGGAATCTCAAAATTAAAAGATTACTTTTATATAAGTGTTAGACGTCACTCACGTTCTTAAGAAGCTAGTTTAAGCAAGCAAGAAAACTCTGGGGGCAGTCGAATTGAATGTATTTCGCAAGATACTGCGGGGTCATTGTATAAGTGCGCTGTAATCCACTGCATCTGCATGCAAACAAATTCAGTGTTCTACCGTTCCTAATTACCTATTGGAAGATTTACCCGCTCGAAGATTCAAGTTGGATTGAGATTCAGCCTAATTTTGTTTAGTATCTTTTGTTTATGAAATTATTTTCAATTGGTATCTGAGCGATACAAAATCATGGATTTGGAATCTTGGCCATTTATAACATTATCGGTAAATAGCACACAATTCGATACATATAAAATAACAGTTTAAGCGTTTTGTTGAAACTTTTATTTTCTTTCTGGATGAATTCCAAAGTCTCTTCTTCATTCTTATGGAATTCTTTTAGCTCGTACATTGGGTACGAGCTAAAAGAATTCCATAAGAATAGCGATTTTATATAGAAAAAATTGGAACAAAGTTGAACACTGCTTTTTTTGCCGTAAGCAAGTTAATAAGCAGCTAACAAACGAGCCAATATAATTTAGTCTGTTGCTCTACTTTTATTGTATCTATGTTGTATTTGTGATACTATGTCTTACTATAGGATTCCGCATCCGATATTTGTGTTACAAAAGCAAGCGATACTGGCTGTCTTTTGGTTAGGTCCACTTGAGTCACAAGAACACATTTTTAAGCAAAGAAATGTTTTAATGGCGCTGCATACAGGGAGATTTTTTGAGAAGTGCCCAAATTTACACAGGAGGTTCAGGAGACTCGGTAGTATAATCGTTTATTGAATAAAAATGCCATTCTATTCCCTAAAAAACAGAACGTGTTGACAATGCATTAGTCATTCATAAATACCTAAATTTTACTGTGCACGAACTTGGGTGCGTGTTAGTTATGAATGTTCGCGCGTAAAATAAATGAGTTGCGTATAAATCACGCACTTTTTGAGATAAGCTCAAATCAATGTAATCTTATCCTTTAAACCAGCAATTCTTGTATATATATATATATATATATATATATATATATATATATATATATATATATATATTTATATACAAGAAAAATATACAATAAATATATATATATATATATAATCGGAATCTCGGAAACGGCTCCAGCGATTTTCATGAAATTTAGTATGTGCGTAGATTCGGGGGTGAAAAATCGATCTAGCTAGGTTTCATTTTTAGAAAATTTCCTTTTATCCCTGTTTTCACGAAATGAAAAATATCATTCGAACATGACGGTAAATTTCGCCGCAACAGAAAATGTCATAATAGCTCGGTCGGTAATCGGGCGGCCCCAAAACAGACGGCCGTGGTTCGTGTCACGTTCATTTGCACACTCTTTTTTTTTACTTTTTTTTTTGATTCCAGGCCATTGTTTTCTTTATTTTTAATTTTTTGTCGATTTGTTATTTTGTTATTTTTCCCTTTTTTTTTAAAGTTCTTTCTTTTGTGAAAAACATCAGTTCATATTTTCTTATTATTACGTCGGTATGCATATTTCATTACTCAGTAATTTGTATCTAAATGTAATTTCCAAAATACACGATTAACCAAAAAAAAAAAACAAACCGAGCAAAGCTCGGTCCTCCGGGTACTTAATTACTTACGAGTGAATTCAAATTTTTATCATTTTCTAGACATAAATAATGTTATATAACAAAAATAAAAAAAATAAAAAAATGGATACACTTAGAAAAGCCACCCTGCATATTCGGAAGCATCATGGATATATATTTAAATATCCATAGCGAAGGGGCTGTGGTGACACTCCCCAAGTACCGAGACTTATTCTGGTTAAACAAGAAAACTGTTTCTTTGTTTGTAGTTATATGTCTTATAAAATTAGTAATTATTTTATGGGTGATAAACAACTAAGCGTACAGAATGTCAAACATTTAGTTAAAGCAACCCTAATGTATAGCAAGGATGTGTGAAAATGACTCTTGTCCGGTACTTGCAAGTCCCATGACTGCTGATTTTATACTTTACAAAGGAGATGTTTCGTTTTTGTATGGGACTCGGACCACAACTGAAAAGTACATTCAGCAAACTTTGTGAGTAAACCTAGGGCTCCGGAAGCCTGCACGAGGGGCCTGTGTGATGTATGTTTTCTTAATAAGAGATTGTTAGTCGATCACTCACCGCGAATCCGATGACCTTGTCGTATCGCACCTTAGGATTGGAGGCCCCAGGGTGAGGATGCGGTAGGGGTAGGAGGAGATGATAGCGGCGCGGCCGACACGCGAATCTATCTTCCTCGCTCGTGAGATAGCCGTAAAACTACTCACAATTGTCCTTACTGTTTTGAATCACGGTTATAAAGCTGGAGATTACCGAATGTAATATTTCCCTTCCGTCACCGTACAATCGTCCTTAAAAAACCAACATGAAGTTGAAGTTGACGTTGAAGTGACCGGTGTTGCCGTCGAAAAAAATCAAAAACTTTCGTTTCGAACACCATTAGTAGATTATACTTACAATAAGTTTAAAATTCTGAGTATGATAAAGGCTTAGAATTCAAATTGATCATCCTTGACTTCGTCTTAAGAGTTATGACAGATTGAAAGATTAGATGACAACTGACGTTAACATAATCGATGAAGAGAGAAATTATTTGTTTCGTTGAAATATCAAACGGCGGATTTCCCTACAGACCGAGAAGGCCTGGGCTTTTTTTAGTAGTCGCGCCTGTCGCCTCTCGCTGCTTTGCGTAAGCGATATTCCGTAAAAGTTATAATAAATCAAGCCGGCCTGATGAGACCTAACATTGTCAACCAAGTCTAGTTGTTTTTATTTTTATTTCATTTTATTTGTATAATTTTTTGTGTTTTACAACGATTGCGCAATCATTCATATACGTAGGGCGACCAACGTATCAAATCTGCCACTTTTTTATCATCCATTATACATGTTGTGTATGATAACGGCAGAGTAAAATCGAAATAGCAATGAACGTTTCGCACGTAAAAGGAAAAGTTATTGAAATTAGTTGAAAACGTTGTGACAGATGTGACAGAGCCAGATGCAAGGTGGGTTTTGGGTGAATACCCGTTGTGATTGAGACTCGACCACACCATTGTTGTTCCCCCCATCTGATATGATGGGTCCCATAAACGATTTTCCTACATAAAATAAGGGCACTTCCTCCATGAATTGCAGCTATTGGGCAACTTTTACATGAACTAAGCCTGCCTTTATTTATGGCTTTCAATTGTTTATTTAATTATAGAACAATGCGAGCGAGCTGGCAGCTCACCTGATGTTAAGTTCTAACCATAAGTACGTAGGCATAATATGAAATGTGACCTACTATGTCAGCTCCAATCATTAAATACCTACAAAAGTCGGATGCGTAAAACGAGCATGGCGTGCATTCCTGTGATTGGATCTACGCTGTAATTGACAGGTTGACGTAATTATCTCTAGGAGACTAATTCGCCCATGATTTCTAGTGCGCTGACAGTAACGGCAAACTTAATAAGGTTACTCAGATTTGTGCCTCGAAGTCATTAGAGCTTTCTGCCTTATTTCTTCAATTTATATCGATCGAGCATATTTCCAATCAATTATTTTCTGTTTAAAGTTCTTACTTTGAATAAAGTTTTTCACGCTGGAAAGACCAATTTCGCTCGAACTGGCGGTAAACTGCTAAACAGACTATAATTTGCAACTGCATTTTTATTGTGGTTTAATGGTATCGAGATAAGTTGTTATTGCGACTAAAATTGCTTTAGAACCTAGGATGTATGTTCTGTTAAAACCACCGCGGAGTCGTTAAAGTAAGACTTGAAGAAGTGCGAATGTAGTGCTTCATTACGATAAATAACATCTCACGAAAAAATTGAAACAAAAACTTCGAAAAACAAAAAATTCCCATTAAACATTTGGTAGTAAAAAAGAAATGAGTGGCGCAACGTTCGCCAAGCCGCGAACTTTTCACAGCGTTCCAAATTAAAGCGTGCGGTCAAAACGTTCTCGCCAAATGTCGCCATCTACGCCATCAAATTTTAATAACTGCGCTACTGAGGTGAATGATTGAACGATTTACTATTGAAATACCAAATTGTCACAAATGTTTGATACATGGTGCAATCGAAAGTAAAATATGTTACTTTAACACTTCATTTAAATATTTCTACATTCATGTACACTGAAACCATTACATTTCACACAAGGACAAGTATTTGTGTGGCAGAGTGGCGGCTGGTATATGTAGTTATGGATATGATATAAATACTGTAATTATCATTTGGAGTGCGTATAAAATATGTATAACTAAATATTATACAATTTTAATATTAAAGTAAAGTAACAGCCTATACATGTCCCACTGCAGGGCAAAGGCCTCCTCTATACAGAGGGTATTAGGGCATAATCCACCACGCGGCCCCACTGCGGATTGGCGGACTTCACATATCTTCGAAATACATTTTTTGTTATTATTTCGAAAATATGCAGGTTTCCTCACGATGTTTTCCTTCACCGCGGAGCACGTGTAAAGTCAGCACTTAAAGTTAAAAACTTAATAAAGGCTCGGAATTAAAGGCGAGCGCCCGGACACTGAGCTATCACGGCTCACGATACAATACAATTTTAATATTGATATTGTTTTATGTTTCCAATTCTGTGGGCAGTCCCCTTGAGACTACCTATTTTTTCTCTTGAGGTTAGAAATTCATACTTTGAAAGTAAGGAGTTCATTAAGCATATTATTGCAGGCACAAATCACTAGTTAACGTCCTGCTACCTACATAATATGTTGTGTTTTCAGTAAAATTAAGAACAACCGTTTTTTAAAGTCGGCGTATTTTTAATTGTCTACACGTCCGTAATCTTAACTCGACTTTAACCTAAAACTAGGTCAATGTTTCAATACTATCTTTTATTTCATTCACATTTTACGCCGGGAGATTTATAACCTACCGACCCTTTTTAGAAATATATTTGACCCATGTCGAAATGAAACAGTATTACTAATATTTATGTGTTCCGAGGGTTGTTTACGAGCGCCTACGTTATTTGAGGAACCAATATGTTGGAGTAAATGCAGACTAACTGTATGAGGTTTTAAAATAGGCACTCAAACATAAATGGCTGCTGTTTTTAAGAGAAGTGAATTCTTTTCAGAGACTAAAAGGTTTCAATTCTTGTTTTGATATATATTTTATTAATTTGACTAAACTTTTAATAATTTTTGAAAGAAACCAAAAAGGCAACCTTAACCTTGTTCATTTATCTGGAAATTATTAAGAATAATTTTTTGAATACACATATTTCAACATACAAAGGATACTTACCGGAGCATTCATTTTATTATTTAATTTAATAAGAAATATTTTGAATATAGTCGCGGAAAATGCTAGGCAACAATTTTGGCGCGTTTTGTAAACATCATGAATGATGTTAGAATAAATTGCAGCAGAAATCATTTATTAAATATTAATTAATCGGGAGGGCATCGGTAAGTGTTTTAACTCGTTACCAGTAACGGACGTAAAAAAGTTGTAGAACCCTAGTTAACGCCTCGGTACTCGTAACTAAAAAACGGATCGTAGCTGTTACTAACGGCCGTTCTTTGAATATAGGAACCGGGTATAAGACGTATACGTAGAGGTATTTCTCTGGATAAAATGCAAAGAGGCCCACAATCTTTACACAAGGCAAAAGAGTCGAGTTGATTGATGGGAACCTGGTCGTCAACGATTCCAGCAGCTCTATGTTGTTTGTGTGTGTGGGGCAGATACAAAATAGACAGTATTTTCTTGTGGCAGCACTAGCACGAAACAATATGAACGACATGTAACCGTTGCGCCGTGCAAGCGAGAGCGATGTTACCTGCGCCCGCGCCTACGTCACCGCATGAACCCGACGTTACTGGATTCGAAAATCCGCTGCCGCTCGGTCAGATGCGCTAGTCGGAATCCATATCTCACGGCGAATGCACGTTTAACTGCGCTCAGATAATTCCGCTAATTGTTCTCGCGATATAATAGTTTTCTACATTTCTAATTTAGTATCTTTTATCTAGTATTCTTCCTAGTCTGTATAACTTCTTTTACATGTTTCTTGATTGTCTGTACGTTTCTGTCCGTGTCCTGTACTAAATACAATTTATATACGTGGCTTATTACTTTCATTTTTACCATCGACAAAATGGCCACATTCTATCTTCCTTATACCAGCCCTCGCGGGGGCAAGAATAGGTTATGTCGGACTCGTACCGACTAAAACCCCCTCCATGTTGCATGTGACAGAGCCACAGGAACGCTTTCGCACACTTCAGCCACCCTGCCAGCGATAGCCGCCTCAGCAGCCTCACCTCGGGGATCGATCTCTCCTCTACATACGACACGCTGAAACATTCAGCGCGCTATCCTTCTCGGCGTTATTTGCATGGACAACTGAGTAGCGGAGGATAGGGAGAGTTGCCAAATGCAATACCAGCACTATATGTATAATGCAAACCACGGCTACTAAGCCCCTCCGCCACTACAAGACGGACACCCGGTCGGAGTCGGCTTTATACACGCCCCTACTCTATTAGAGATACCGACATGGGCGACTATGGGGGTTTCACATGTCCGCATGGGCGGCGGTTATTACTTAACATTAGGTGAACCGACAGCTCGCTTGCCATTTTCTTACATAAAAAATGACAATAACTTCTATAGAATTACAGCAATAGTTACAGAATTAAAGAATGGATAAAATATACCGGTACGCTGAGAGCAATTTAGAATTCTATTATCATCTCATTTTTGAAGTGTGTAAAATTTTTCCGTTACGCGCCATCTTTTTTTTTTATCTTAAAATGTTCCTCTAACGCCATCTAGTGTTGAATAGGGGGTTTTATGTCGTCTTTATTCTTTAGTGGTTTTAATAGTTGACGCTAGATGGCGTTTAGTTCCTTTGTGTGTTCATAGCAATATATATATATATATGTTATATTAAAGTGATCAGCAAAATCAAAGTGTTTATTTTAATTCTATTTCTAAAATGTAAACAATATATTTCGTATTTCAGTTACCATAAGCCATTAATAACACAAATATATAATAACGACATCAATGATAGTAATAATTCTATTACAATTAATGAAATTCAATAATAATCTTTGTAGTAATGACAGTGCTAGCTCTAATACTTCAGAGCACGACACTGTAGAGACTTCCTCTTCTCAAAGGCAGGCACCGCCCACCGTGACCTGACTGCGCCTTCCACCGAAGACACAATCTGAAGCTGACCGATGATGCTCTTCGAAACCTAGATCGGCTCCTGGAACTTGCGGTTGCGACGTCGATCCAACGTCGGCAAGTTCGGTTTTCCAAAAAAACTTCACTCACAACACTCGCGCGCGAGTCGAATGTCGCTGACTATTCGGCAACGAAGGACCATGTACAAATTCAAAGTGGTTTTATTTTGGCGCCTAGCCTGAACCTCGCGTATTTATTATTACGCGTTATGGTGACTAAGCTCGAGGGCTCCAGAAGGAACCTCGGCTCGGGCCGTCACGCTATTTAATTCACCGGTTTGGGAGGCCGCCTAGCTCTTAGGGCGCTTTGGCGGGGGCTCCATGGAGTGATCAGGCTCAAGAGTCCCCGAGAGGGGACCTCGGCTTGGGCTGTCACTCAACACGCGTTTAGCATTCCGATTCGAGGGTGCCCGAGAGGGCCGGACCTCGGCTCGATCGGTAGCTATTATCTGACTGGGGGGATCTCTAGAGCTATCTACTTCTAGAGCTATCGTTACTACCACTTCGTAAAGCGTTGCGCTGGGAGAAGAAGTGGCGGAAGAAACTCCAGCAACGCTTCTATCTTGAACTGGGGAGAACCTGCCAGGTACGTGGCGGAACCTAGTATATGTTTGCCGCACTCGCCGGCGAGTGCGGTTTGTGTTGGTGTGTATGCGAAGTTTTTTTAATCCTTTCGATGGCGATAGTCGTCTCATCGTCAGGCAAATCGAGAACGTTTTTAATCAACAATTTTTGCGGACCCCCATACTAATTACAACGGTCAAACCATAGTGTGTTTTAATTTATTACTAACGCCACCTATGTATTGCAAATAAGAAACTAAATATTATACAAACCTAAAATGAAATAATTGTAGAATTTGTATTTATGTCTATGATAATAAAAGCCTTTTATTAAACTTTATCTAATTTAACTTTATTTAACCAATTTCTGTAAAGTTGCATATAGTAAATTATTTTTTGAAAAATAAGGTCATAAAAAAGTTTCACTTCTTACGAGTGTACGCTAGTACACGCACACATTTTTTTTAATTAAAGCAATTATGCAAATGCTGAATGCAATTTAAAAGTATACATATTTTTTTTCCATGGGAGATAAAAATCTTGTTGTTCATGTAGAAAAATACCAACAAGAGAATTTTTGTGCCCCTTTCCATTTACATCGCGGCGGCTCCATCGAAAGAGCCACTTAATTACCCTCAAAGCTATTTCTTGTAGTTGAATGTCCGCTATTTCTTAAAACTGTTTTGTTTTTTCATCCATCTCCTGCAAATGTGGCACGTTTCTTTAAACAAAAGGGATATACGGGATATAAGTATATTTTTCTACATTTTGTTTTAAAAACCTAAAATAACTTTAATGCATTTCTTGGAATATTTATTACATGTTAGTTATGTTTTCAAACGACATCAAAAAGGAGGAGGTTCCCAATTCGACTGTATTTTTTATGTTTGTTACCTCAGAACTTTCGACTGAGGGAACAGATTTTGATGATTCTTTTTTTTTTCAAAATTCAGAGATATAATCCAGCTTAGGAAAAGTATTTATTATATATTTTTTAATATAAGACAATATCGGACAATATATTTCCACGGAATCTACGTTTAATAATTATGCTTAGTTTACGCTTCTGTAGATAAGTAACATTAATAAGGTAACTAAGTTACCTATGAGTTAGTAAAAAAAAATTATGCGATAACTCGTAAAACGCATTTATTTTTCTTTATAATACGTAGGTAAGTTACACATGTTGGCAATGCATTAATTTAGGTTTAATTTTTTTTACTTTTTATTAGATTTAATTTATTATTTATTCGTTGCTCATATTTCACGTTTCAATAAAATTATTATAGAATAATTGGTTTCACAACAACAACAACGTCTCTCTGTCAATCTGCTGCCCAATGTTTCAGTATGTTTCACAGACATGAGTTCTCGCAGTAAAAGAAACATTTTGTGTTCACACGCGTTTTCGATTTGGAGACGATTTAAACCATTGCACAAAACATGAATGTCATCATTACATATTTAAGAATATTTAATTTAAAAAGTCAATACAATAGCTGTTTTAAGTTTTCATCGTTCGGTATACGAAATGCATTCCAAGTTACGTAATGAAACTTCTTTTCCTAACGTTGTCTCAATAAAATTTTAAGGGTTTGATCCATTTTGATAAGCTCAGGAGTGAAGTATAAAAATCTTATCAAACTTTATTCGAAACCGATTCGTTTTAATAAATCTGAAAAGCTCTCTTGGTGAAAGATTTTGTTGTTACCCTTAGTTTCAAATAAGTCGGCGACCCGATTGTCCTAGTGGGTAGTGAACATGCCTGTTGCGGCAGAGGGTGTGGGCTCGATCCCCGCTGGAAAAACATTGTGTGATGGACAAAGTGTTTTTCCGGTGTATGCGTAGATATATGTATAATATGTGTTAATTTAGAAAAGAAAAGTATGTTTATCAATTATCTAGTACACATAGTACAAGCGTTGCTTAGTTTGGGACTGGAGAACGTTGTGTAAAGATGTTTCCTAAATTATCTATTATTATTTTTTTAATTATCTGATATAAATGTATTTGTTTAAATTAAGTTTATACGTTTTCATTTCATGGTCAAAAAGTATCTTTTTAATCTTTGTAAGCTTGTAACAAATTATATGAAGTCCATATCGATGGTATAATGATAATGACTTTTTCAAAGCAAATATGTCTGTATCGTGGTAGACCTAGTTTATGGGTTCGACAGGTAGGTTATAAGTTAAAGTAGAAGACAGCAATACAAATACAGCCGCGTTAGCAATTGGACACGCAGTGCCAAGGACCGACTAAATTGGAACTCCAATTGATTCGGATCGAAATGAGATTACCCTCGGGCCAAGACCGTTTAGCTGATTGGGTTATGCCGGGACTGAGAAGTCGCTCATATTTTATTCGTTTTTTTACTTATCCATACAAATATTAGTAATTCTCTCCTTTGATAAATTATATTCCTAATTTATGAAATCTACAAGTAAGACGAAAGTTAAAAAATATATATAAAATAATCTGCTCGAGTATATTG